TGAAAAAGATTTAAAAGCGGTTTTAAATCGGAAATAAAAAGACTTAGAGCTAAAATAAGCGCATAAGAAGTTAAGCGAACACAAAAACTGTCAATATATACAAAGCAGATTTAAATTGTATAACTTTTGTCTTGTTTTGGAAAACTTACTTCTTGTTGATATTATGGCTGAGAGGACAGAGGGCACCGGAGAAAAAACTGGTTACTGGAAATAACATACCAACGACTCCCTCTCAGAACCAGGAAGTAACTACAGACTTTTCTTCACTGTTAGCAAATGCACTGCACCCCCTAATGGAACAGATGACTAACCTCAATGCCAAATATGACAGTGTTCAAAAACAACTGAATCAAATGGATAAAAGAACCTCAGTAACCGAGAAAACGCTGAAAAAAATGGAAAAACAGACTGAGAATATCAACGAAAGAGTAGATGAAGCAGAGAAGGAAAGATCCTCCGATAAAACGCAACTAATACAGCTCCAGCTGGAAAGATCTACGTATGTTCTACATTTCCATGGGATTCCTGAAGAGAAGAAGCCATTAAAAATTAAGAATGAAGATATAAAAATACTAAAATACATCCCCTTTGAAGTCAGAAAATGGAGGAAACTATACAGGATGCTTACACTCACTCTGCAAAAAAAGGGAATACCATACAGATGGTTATTACTGGAAGGACTGAGCTTTAATTATTTGGATAAAAAATACAAAATTGACTCTGTCCCCAAAGCGGAAAAATTTATGAATCAAATGTTCAACTCAAAATATAAGAAGAAAGAAAAGAACTCAAAACCAGACCAAGAGGAAGAAGAAGAAGAAGAATCCTACTCACAGGATTCAAAAAGCACTACTTCCACTTCACCAGAATCATTGGAATTGGAGAAAGGAGACGTTGCCCCCAAACTCAAGAAAACGAAGTAACGCAGGAAGAAAAGACTCTAGAACAAGAACAATAGTTCTTAAAGGCAGAATTTGTGCTAAGCATGTTAAATGCATATTATTAAAGCAATATTGCAATGAACCAACTTGTAACATTAACCAACTTGTAACATTAGGTTAATAAGCCTTACTTTAGCTAATTAGATTGTGATATGTATTAGCTTTCCCTTTCCCAAATCCAATAGATGAAATAGTTTAGAATAGTAGTTTCCTTTCCCCATCAAGTAGTTTTTATGTATTAGTTTGTCCTTTCCCCATTTCCCATAGTTAGAGTGTTAGGGTTTTAGTATCCCTCCCCCTTCCAATTTTTAGTTGTAATTTTTGTAGTTTATAGAAAATGCAAATTAAAAATCCCCTTCGGGGGGCATTAAAAAAAAAAAGGATCCAGGGCCCCAGCTCTTAATATAGTTTCTGGTTTATATCACTTTCTTGTACTTTTTCTTCTTTGAAGAGTGGAAATATGTTTCTCCTAAATCGCCCAAAGGAAGGTTATTTTGTTATTAATAATAGTAAGGGCATCTGATAATCAAGCGCTTAGAGGCCTGATTGCAGGTTTTTCTCTGCATCCCCAAGAAGAGAGTTCCCGAGTGCTAGTCAGTGACAACAGCAACAAAAATTAGACCCATTTTATTCACTGGCAGTGACTGTTAGCTTGTGATGTCCTTAATGGCATTAAGGTGAGTAAGATGCTTGTTTTGTTTCCATTTGGTATTGAATTCACTAATGGTTATTGGCCCCTAGGTCCACTTATCTTGCTTGCCAGTGCATCTGCTCTGCTTAGGGCTGTGTGCATGCAATTACATGCTGTTGCAGATGAATCTGACAGCTTTGAGAGGTCAAGAGATGTACTAATATCTAATTAATTCTCACATTTGGTATCCAGAGCTTTCTCTTCCACCAAATAAAATCTACTCTGTGTCAGATCTCCTGGTCATGCCAGCTGTTGATCAATGTTCACATTTCTAAAATAAGCTGCTATCAATGTTAAAGTGCCCTGTGGTTGTTTAAAAATATTTAGTAGTAACACATAGCAGTACAATCAGCTGAAATTTTTAATTGTAACCCTGATGACATTGATAGCTAAACCCTGATTGTATGAGGAGCATGTTTAGAACATAATTAATGAAAAACAGATTTATCCTGGACATAACCCAAGTCTGTACCTTCTACAATATAGTACAAAAGCCAAAACAAAAGTGTAGAGAGAGTTGGAACCGGGGGGAAAGAAGCAAAGTGGGGGTAACAGATAGTGGAAAGAAATAGATATAGAGCAAGGAATACTTAATTTGATTTGTGTTACTTCATGCTGGTCCTTTGGTACTGTAAATTCCATAAGCTATATACCTATATATGGGCCTTCCAAAATTTGCTTTTGTTCTGCTGTTTTATAAGGCAGCAAGGGTAGAAATTAGTTTCAGTACCTAGTGAATACTTGATTGCAAAAGGTTTGGCCTCTACTGTGCTTCATAATTTATGAGACTCTGCCTCATACAGAGTGATAATTGTTAAATTCGTGGGTATGCTCAAGTGCTTAATTTGGAGTTTACTTTCCAAAACTATTGTTGCAAAGTTATTTATTCACCTGAATCTAAACTGATATTTTCCCCTCTATAGTCCTTTACATTTCCTTGACTGTTATTATCTTTGAACATTAGATGTGTGACTGCCCTGCGTTTTGAACCAGATTGTTCTATGATTACTAAATATGGTTTGACAATGCCTAATTATGGTACTGAAATAGTCTGAAGAATAAATCTTATGTAAGTGGACTGATGCCCTTTAAGACTGAATATTTGTACTGACAGAAAGAATAGATTCTAATAGGCATCTCTCATTTTAAGTATGTGCAGTTTGTTCAGGTACATGTTTAGAGTTACAGCTTTTTTTCTGTAAGACTGTAAGATCCTCATCTGATTGGTGTTTTTTCCATTTTATTTCTGTCTTGTGCTCCAGTTCCTGGAATGCAAAAGTGTACTTGAGGCACAAATATGCCATCTCAAGTACTGCCCAGTAGTTTCATTGAAAATATAGGCAATAAGCATAATTTTACTTTTTAAATTTTTACTCCTAAAACAATGTCACCAGATTACCATTGAATGGTAAAAACGGGAAGGACCACTGAAATCCAAGAAAACATCTGTCTTCCTTAATTATTTATCAAAACTCAGATGATTGCCCTTATCTGGGAAATCTTGTAGGTCCAAGGATCATTCAGATCTGTAGGTACATTGCCCAGGTGGAATTCTGTTGTTTGGCTGAGAGGTGGACTTGAAAATGCACTGCAGGTTTCACAGATGACTACTCTGTATGTTGAAAAGTGCTATGGAAGTTACAGATAATTTTTAACTTAATGCATTTTTGTATGTACTATGTTCCCTGACTTTTAAAAAAAGTTAATATATACATTTTGTATCAGCATAAATTGCTCTAAGAGGGTGACATTTTAAGAGTTTACAGATAGTAGCCAGATCCAATTCACTATCTCCTGGCAGTAATCATCATTATCCTTTCAGCGCTCAATAGGAACATAACCATGCAAGTATTTTATGTTCAATAATGGCGACCTCTTGTGGTGTATGGTTTCATTACAATATGTTTCGATTTCTTAGCAACACACTTTATTGGGGGGGGGGCCGTTAATATTCCCATACGGGATTATATTCCCCATGAAAACCAGGTTCATAGTTTGGGAGTGCTGCTTTGACACAGCGGTCACCTTAGAAAACCAGGTGGATACAGTGGCTCAGAGTGCTTTTGCCCAGCCTCAACTAGTGTGTCAGTTGCACTTGTTCCTGGTTCAGTTAGATCTAACCATAGCCATGCCTTAGTTACATCTAAACTGGACTGCTGCAATGCACTCTGCTTGGGGCTAGCCTTGTAGAGTGTTCGGAAGCTGCAGCTAGTGCAGAATGCTGCTGCTAGACTGCTGGTCGGGGCCAGCTACTGATCCATTCCCGAGCACAATTCAGGGGTGTTTTTGTGCTTTAAAGCCCTACGTGGCTTGGGATGGTAGTATCTGAAGGGCTGTCTACCATACTTTCTTGCCTGGGAATTAAGATCGCAGGGACAGGACCTCTTGATGGTCCCACCAATCAAAGAAGCTCTTCTGTTAGGTACACAAGAGAAGACCTTTTTGGTGGCAGCCCCAAAATTATGAAACAACCTCCCCAAGGAGGTGTGCTTGGCCTCCTCACTATTGATCTTAAGGAGGCAGTTGAAGTCAGTTTTATTTAGGACTGCATTTGACTGATTTAGTTTTATTTATTGGCAGTCCTAACTGGAGTTTTTAAATTGTGATTTTTATGGGGTTTTATAATTATTTGATTTATATTGTTTTTATTGTGTGCTTTGTAATTGTTTTATTTGTATTGTAAGCCGCCTTGTGTTCTGTAAGGAAGAAAGGTGGCTAATAAATGTTTTAAATAAATAATAAAGTTCTGCTTAAAGCTGAAACTGAAATACTAAACAATGCATTAGCAATCTGACAATCTCACTTATGACATAAGGGGCTGTAATTTGGGGGGGTGAGGTGGATGTGGTAAGGATAAAATTACTCCTTTTTTGCCTGTAACTCTCCCAGTTAGGAGTTCCTATATAGTTTGTGTCCTTCCCCTTAAAGGGATATGTGCACAGTCCTCCCACAGGATTGGCTGACAGTACTGGTTGGCGATATTACATACTGTCAACTCCAACTAGATCACAAGATGATTTGGGGGGATGTGGACTTGACAGAAACTCAGCTTTTTACTGGAACCTTTCCATCCTTATACTGGCCTGGAGCTAGCATACGTACACTAGTGTTTTTGCCTGAGTGGAGAGTGTGTGCATTAGTTATGGAGATGGTTTGGAGACAGAATGAGGGGATTCATTGGTCTTCCACTATTTTTGAATAAGGTGTGCTCCAGTTCTAGGATATGCTTCCTATTTGCCAGAAGCCTTCTCATGGCTACTTGGAAAACTGTGCACATATCCTTGAAAGAACACTTTTATATATATGAATTGGATTGCTTCCCTATATTTTGATACGTGTAAATGTGCCCCACCCCCCTTTGTTTTTAGTGACCAGGATCATCCTAAGAGATCAGGCAGGCCTTCATCGTGTCCAGAAAATAGTATTTGGATTAAAGCTGATACTAAGACAGGTACATCATATAGTACTGGTTGAATATAGATTTCTAAAGTCTTTGTCAGTTTCCTTTCTTGTATATTACTGTACCGAATCAGCAGCTACAGAAAACATTGTCTCCTGAGGAGTGTGAAGAACACTACTTGTAGCTGGGACTAGCGCCTTTCTTGGCTTGTAAAATCTTGCAGTGGGGCACTGGGTAAGTATGGGCATGAACTGGGAAAATGTGGTTCCACGAACCAAACGGAAGCAGCCAGGAGACTATAGTCCTTTTGAGCAAACAGTAACGTGATTTTTTTAAATAACAAACTGGAATCACTTTCAAATAAGAAATACTTTGTTCAGCTGTGACTTATTTGGAGCATATTTCTCCCCCAATAGTTAGTTAAAACAGAAACTTTTTTTGCAGTGAAAGAGAGTAAAATTGTTTGTAATTTTTAAATGTGCTGCTTAAACCTGTTTTAATTTCAATTTTATTCTGGTTTTGCTGCTGTTCTTAGCTTGACCTGTTTATTGTTATTTATAACACCTTGCAGATGTTTATATGGAGAGGCAGAGCCTATTTTTAACAAAGAAATGCAAAATGATGTTAGCACTTCGAGAATGTTATGGTGGCACATCGGGCAACATTCGCTCCTGTCTTAGAATAGCGAGCAAATCTCCTGAATGATTTCCCCACACAGTGCAGGGCAATGTAGATTAGAAAATGAGACTATTTTTCAGTATTTATAAAGAACTTCGCTATTTATATTTACCTAACAGATTGTTGGATAAGTCTTTCTAGTCCTAAATACAAAATATTAAAACAGGATGATATTGTGGTGTAAAACGTGACTGCCATAGCAACTCTAAACTGCTACTTTGTTTTTCCCCCAGTCTGTTTTTACTATAGGAGGAGTGGGGAAAGTGGGTGAATGGATTTGGTGCTGTCGGAGCCAAGAGTCCTGATACACTTAACGTGTAGCTCTGAACCAACTAGGCATGCCCCTCACACAGCGCCAGCACTTCCCCTTCCATTCAGAACACTTTTGTGCTTGCAGAATGCTTTCCAGAAAGGAGATTTGTGTGGCCCAAAAATGTTAATCCTCCAGATTGATCCCCTAATAAGTTAAAATTTAATGTACTTGTAGCCAAATAAGCGATCAGTTAAGATAGTGTTCAACTTGCTAAACCTCAGTGTTGCTAAGGCTCTTTCACTTCCATGCTAAAAACAGCAGCCAATGAATGTAGACCAGTGTCATCTCTGTGGCCAAAATGCAAAACTGTGGTTATGACAGATAAACCACCGAGACAGAAAACTATCTTGAACTTGTCACTGTCTGGTGTATAGAGTTTCCTGTTGCTTTTCTATTAAGATAGATGAAATTGATTTTGCCTTTTGATTCTGTATGTTGTATCTTTACTTCCTTCCTGTTACCAGATTACAAAATATTACATTTGTAATATTTCCACAGCTTTACATACATTTGTTCTGTGAGCATTTAAAAAATTGTATGTGCATTTTAAAAAAACCATGGTTGTAAATTTCAGAAAATAATTTGGGAGCAAATGAAACTGAAGAGGAAGAAAACTACTGGAATATGAGAATTTTGCCAATTTTACATGAATTAGAGACTGGTATGTAATCTTTTTTATATTACATTTGTTATAGCTTTCATAAAATTATTCATTTGTCACTTAGAGAAATTCACAGGTTGTAAGCAATGTTCCCTCTAAGCTGCGGAGCCTTGTGAGCAAAAATTCTACTTTGTGAGTTACTGGCATTAAAGTTGTGAGCGAGCAATTTGGCTCTGCCAAATTAATTTGCTCTGGAGCCATCTTTCCTGAGCTAAGACAAAAATGTGTGAGCTGGAGGGAACACTGGAACTTGTAAGTGGTTCTGAATTGCCTCCTAATCCTGCAGGTTGCCTATAGATTTGCATTGATCCATATTTCTATACATTTTTATCCTACCAAGGATATCACATTTTTATCCTCTAAGAAGCTCAGGATGGCATACATCCCCCCTCCCCACTTTGTACAGAGAACAGACCATGTGAGTTAGGTTAGGCTGACTAGCCCCAAATTACTTGTTGAGCTACATGACTGAGTTAGGATTTGAATCCTTGTTTCCCAATGCCTAGTTCAGCACTCTCAGTGACTGTAGCACACTGACTATGGTTTCATGATTTTAAGAGCCCGGTAGCTGCTTCTCAACCCAGGAATCAACAACCTGGCCTTTGAATTGCTGAAATCAAAAACATAGCCCTGTAAGGAAACGGCCTATTAGGGTTGGGGTTGAGGGGGCTCCTGCTTCTAAATATTAGTGATAGGGGTAAGTTTCTTCACAGAGCTGCAGAGCTCAGGATTAGTGCTTGGAGGCCTTCCAGAGTCTCATTCTTGGGCTTTATGGTGCTGGCAAGATGGAAAATGTTTGGTCATCATCTCTCTTATTCTTCCCCTGCACACAGGAGCTATGGAGAATTTTTCTTTTCCTCTCCCCATCAGTCAGTATGTTGACTGGAAGCAAGTTGCAGGCCATTTGCTTTCACTCAGCCTTACTGTCTAAAAGCAAAATGAAGACTTGTTGCTCTGCCAGGATTCCATAGAAGCACAAGGCACTATGCCTGCTCAGCCCTTATGCTGACTGGTTTGGGAGAGCCTTCCTTCCTTCCGTCCGTCATATTTTTTTTGCATACTGGTGGGGCCTGCCGCCTCATTGCTTGAGGCCCTGTTATGTGGGTTAGGTGATCAGCACATGGCCACCAATGTCAAAGCAAACAAACTGGGAGCCCATGAGAAATCATGGGGTGGGGAGATACTTGCTCCCTGTATTCTCCGTCTTTCCTCTCCAATATTGGGTAAGGTCTTAGGGGTTTAATTTTACCTCCCCCCATTTTAATTGACTTTCAACTACTGTCAGCAGTTTGTGTCTCCTGGAGCATGTTCAGTCCTCATCAGGGCATTTTTGGGGAGGTTTTTCCCCTCAGATTATTTATAGAGCCAATTTCTTCTGTACATCCAGGAAGCCTCTTGTGTATGTGGAAAATACTATCTTGTCTGTGGGTTGCCTGGCTGAAACTTCCATAATTGCCACAACCCTTTCATGTTATTACTAAATATAACAACATTGTTATTTCCATTAATGTATTTGTATTAGCAATATGCAAGGTCCTGACACAGCAACTCAAAGAACGTGCCCTAAAGGTTCCACAGATGTTAAACTCCACTATGAATATTTAAAGACCATTTATGGCTGCTTCTTTTATACCTTGTACTTGCAGCTGTCATATTAAACCCTGGTCAGTCAGCCACTCCTCCCTGCCATTTTAGTTAAAAAAAGAGATTTACATTTTAGCCATGCGTGCCTACTACACAGACTTATTGTTTATAACAGTAGTCAGTGGGTAGACCAAATAACTTAAGTCAGATAAGTGCTCCTGAAGAATAATCACATGCAATCTGAGACACTTTGAGGGCGAGGTGGAGGTAGTGAACTGTTCCTGCTTTCCTAAGTGGTACCCATGCAATTTGGCTTGAGATCTTGAAGCCATCACAGCAGCCTCCTTTTGCCGCTGTTCTTATTTATTCATTTAATTTATTTATTTTATTGGATTTATATCCCGCCCTCCCCATATAGCAGGGTATTTTCCTGCAGCCCACACATACCACTTAACTGTGCTACTGTTACGAAGGACAGGGAAGGGATTTTGGTCCAAAGCAGCCACAGAAACTGCTGCAAAGCTGCACTTGCAAAATCAATAGTAAAGGGAGGGGGGAATAGATTTTTCTTGAGGTGTAGCATTTGCTTCCTTGGGAGCACCTAAAGTAGGTCCCTGTATTGAGCCTATTGTGCTTAAATTAGAAATTGTGTCTTACTGAACATTTCACAACTTGCTTTATTTTTCTTCTGGTTAATTTTTGTTTTTGATTTGCTCAGCTGTTCAACAAATATAACTTGATAATTACTTTTGCTTTCTTCTTGTTCACATCAAACAGAGGACAATGTAGAAAGCCTTTGCCATGCCTGTGACATTCTCTATCGAGCTTTGGAGGACAGAAATATGCTTGGCAAGCGATTTAAAAGGAGAACTTTGTTTCTGAAGACTTTGTATAAGTTATGTGACATTGCTTCAGATCCTCTTGGCCTGAAACTAGCAAAAATAATTCTGGGCGTGAGTTGAACTATTTAGTCATTATGGGCAGTGTGATGGCTAATATATCCTGTGAGCTTGGTGCTTGTGTAAAGTTGCACTTTGTATCTTGCGAAATGTGTTAAGTTTAATTAAATTGCTGGAATAATTATTCAGAATAAGCAGCAGAATTCCTCAGTGTATGAGCTGATCAAAAGTTAGCTGTAATTTTTTATGTTTCATATTCTGACTTTAACGGTAGATTTATTTTGAAATCTAGGAGCTTAAAGTATGAAAAGTAAGTCTTAAAAGCATAAATAACCCTACCTTAAACATACATTAACTGAGATTAGTCAGTACTTTAAAAAATAATGATAAGCATGGTTATACCCACAAGAGGTAACTAATGCTCTGAGAGAGTTTCCTGCTTCATGTCACTGAGTCCATCCGGCTGAGCCTGAATGGGTTTCCTTTAGTCAATGCAACTTGCTTTCAAGTAAGAGCTTCCAGGAGCTGGATATTTCAAAGTGACAGCAACACAAATAACATATCCTCACTGGTACCTGAACAGCTGACAATAAACCCAAGAGAGAAATAGCAAAACAAGTGCTCAAATAAAATCATAACAAAGTAAACTATTGGGCATGGTTCCAGGGAGGAGAGGAGAATGATGTATGCCAACCTGAGCTCCTTGGTGAAGGGCGGAATAAAAGTATATTAGATAAAGCATATCATTCCTTCTACTCCAGGAAATAAGAACAGTTTTTACGATAAAACTTATACAAAGTACACTCTTAATTTAGTATACTTTTGATAATTCTAAAAAGCACCTCATCTTTTTGAGCATTTCTCCATCGAAAACCTCTTTGTACTCTTTCAAAGTGTTTAGTAATTACTGATTCTGTACCACTGTTAAATTCCAAATTGATTCCTGGTCTTTAATTCATGATGGTAGCCAATGCTACTACTACTGCTAATAGTAATAATAATGGGGTATCCTGTAATGGTGCTACACATATACTTACATCCCGTGGTCAAACTGTTAAAACTCATTTGAATGTATATTTGTCATAAAGTCCTGATTCAAAAGCAGCATTTGGCAGGACCTTCTGGAATGACTGTGTTTATATTTCATGAGTCGTAGGAACTTGATGCCTGGTTCTCAGTAAGTGGCATATTGAGCTATTCTGCCCCCATTCACTTAAATAGACAGGCTAACTATACATGAACCCTAACCTGAATGGCCCAGGCTAACCTGATCTTGTGAGATCTTGGAAGATAAGTAGGGTTGGCCATGGTCTGTACTTGGGTGGGGGACCACCAAAAATTCCAGGGTTGCTATGCAGAGGCAGGCAATGGCAAGTCACCTCTGTTAGTTTCTTGCCTTGGAAGCCCCATGGGATCATCATAAGTTGGCTGCGACTGGACAGCACGTCCCACCACCAAATGTGCATGTGGGGACACAGACACAAACACATACACAAGCGCAATATGTGCAATTCTACCCAGGGAGAAAATTCATGGTCTTGATCAGGGCAGAGTCATTCTCTGTGTATGTGATCTTTGGGAAAGAAGTAACCAACATGAGTTGTTGCTCTGGAACAAAAATATTCATGCGAGTGTTTGTGTGTGTGCTTGAATTGTTTTGCCATCATATTGAACTTGTATTGTCACAGTTTCATAGAAGTAAGCCTCATGGGAATCTGTGCTGAACTCCATTTGGCCTTCAATACATGAATACTTAATCAATTTGATGTTCAAATTAAAAAGCCAGGAGCTAAAATAAAAGCAGTGTAGTAATCAAGAAACCCAATTACTTTTCAAAAAACAAAAATCACAAATAGTAAAACTGACCTGGCAGTTCAGAAGTATTGGATTAACAAAGATTAATAACAAATCTGAAATAATCCTGTGTATTGTTTAGTTTCTTAAAATACTTGCCATATTAAAGGAGTCCCTGTGTTTTTGTTCACTGGTATCCCAATGTGTTTTATTGTTGGTTAGTGCACTGTCAGGAGCCAGGCCGGGGGTGGTGCAGGCTGCACCATCAGAGCGTGGATTGAGTAAGGCAAGGGCACCAACTCAAGCAGTGTAGAGGTACAGTCCAAGGTCAAAGCACAGAGTCAAGAGCTGTCAGTAGTCTGGTCCAAGAGTCAGTCTGTACAGCAAGCGCTAGAAGTCCAGGAATTATTCACGGGCAAGTTCAAGGGCAACACAAAGGCAGAGTCTGGGAATGGTCCAAAGAGTCACAGGAATAAGGCAGGATCCAATGCAGTCGCCGCAGTGTCAGAGGGATTTTGACTTGTTGCTTCCACACCTAACAGCCTCCCTTAGCTGGTTTTTATAGCCATATTCTGAAGGGTCTTGCTTGCAACCAGCTGCTTGGGAGTAATCCTGCAGCTACTCATCTTTGCTGTCAGCAAGCAGCAGGCATTGGGCCAGGAGGTGTGCACTTTGTCGTCTCTCCTGTAGCTCTATTCTTAGCCTCCGTCTACAGTGCTCTAAGGGTGTGGGAGAGCTGGAAACAACCAACTGAGTTTCACCTGTTGGATCGGGGCTGGAGGGTGTTGGTGGCACTGCACCAATGGTTAATTGTGAATCCTGGCAAGCCAGCAGCTCATCTTCCTGTTTGCCAGCTTCTGCTGATTCAGAGCTGGCTACACAGGGCTCCTCTTCTCCTGAGAAGTCCTCACTATTGCTGAGCCCTGGCTGACCCATGGCATGCACACTTTTGCATTCAGTATCATTATCCTTTGTATTTTCATGCTGTGCTATGCATCAAACTGGAAAAAGTATCCAGTTAGTGAATCAAATGTGTTTAACAAATTCTACAAAGCTTTCTTCTTTGATATCTCTCATAATACAACCATTACCAAGAGGAAGAGATCCAATTTATCACATTTTTATTTTACATTTATATTTGGACTAGGAAAAAGGCCCGTTGTGGAAATAAATACAATGAGCTCTAGAAAGAGAGCTCTGGGCGGGTGCCCCAGCCTTGGACACTCAGTGTCAATTTGCTGTGGCGACCTCAGCAGGGTATAATGACACTGAGTTCACCATTTTCTCCAGAGGAACTGATCTCTGCTACCTAAAGAACAGTTGTAATTTTGAGTGATCTCCAGCCCTCACCTGGAGATTGGCAACAATGGTTCCCCAGAAGGGAATGGTTGGTTTGGAGGGTGGAGTCATTGGCTTTGTACCTGTCCGAGGTCCCACGCCTCTTGAAACCTCACCCTCTCCAGGCTCCATCCCTCACATCTCCAGGAATTTCCCACCTGGAATTGGCAACCCTATCTCCTTCCCAGCCAATCATCAACCTACCTTTATTTCCCCCTCACTCTTCAGCTTTCCACCCCCCACACACCTGCAGCCTCTCCCGTGCTCTGAAGCCCTGACTGCTACGTCACATTGGCTGTCATACGGGGGCCACCTCAGCAGCATATAAGGATACAGAGCCCACCATTTTCTCCAGGGGAACTGATCTCTGCCATCTGGAAAGCAGTTGTAATTCTGAATGATCTCCAGTCCTCACCTGGAGATTGAACACATTTTACCTCAGAACAGCAAACTGTTTAGAATGTTAGAGGCAAAAGCCAATCAAGTTGCATATGCAAACGACTTCTGTGTTCCAAGGCAAAGGCCAATGAGGCTGCATATGCAAATAACCTCTGTGTTCTGACTGGCTATGGGGGGGAGGGGAACAGCAAACTGTATAGAATGTTGGAAGCAAGACTCAAGCAATGCAGGCAGTGGATAGGGACAGATTCTGAGTGACACACCAGGGCGCCAACCAATTCCGGAGCGTGTGGAATGTTCTAGAGAAGTGCCACCACTTCTACCCTGCTTTTCTACTGAGTGTGGACTCAAAGTGGCTTACAATATGAGTAAACAACCAACCATGGAGTACAACAAATCTACCTGTCAGCAGCAAACCAATCTACAGGGGAGGGAATGGGAGAAGAGCAGCTGGTAAAAGCTATGCCCTAATGGCAACAGTGTCTTACCAGTCCTTCCAAGAAGCTCAGGACTGTGTATCTGCAGTTGTTCCCCATTTTATATTCACAACAGCCCTGTGCGGTATGTTTGCTATGAGACAATGACTGATTCAAATTCACCCAGTAAGTTTCAAGGCTAAGGAGCAATTTGGTCCGTCCCGCACTCTAGTCCTTTCACCACACTGGCCTTTATTAAGAAAGGATCTGAAAATTTTCCATATTATTCATATTTTGTAACTATATTTTGTAGTCATAGTATACTGTGATGTTTTTCTGCACAAGTCATTTGAAAAGAATCTAACTTGTGCAAGAATTTATCACCTTGTAGAGGTGCTGTCTTTGTTTCAGTGTAGTTGATACTGGTAGGTATTGTTAGCTGAATGTGATGTTGGGCAATTTTCTCAGTTCTTCACATATCTCAGAGTGATGGCTGTTGTTCCACTATAAAAGCACAGGAAAAAACCAGACAAATCAAAAATATTTTTTAATGTATTATCTCTGTGGTGACCTGATTTTGAACTTTTAAACTCCAGTTGCGAAGTGTTTAGAAGAAGAAGAGATTGGATTTATACCCCGCCCTTCACTCAGAGTGTCAGAGCAGTTTACAAACTCCTTTCCCTTCCCCACAGTAGACACCCCATGAGGTGGATGGGGCTGAGAGAGTTCTTTCCAGAACTGTCCTTGAGAGAACAGCTTTGACAGAACTATGGCTTGCCCAAGGTCATCCAGCAGCTGCAAGTGGAGGAGTGGGGAATCAAACCCGGTTCTCCCAGATTAGAGACTGCGCACTTAACCACTATACCAAACTGGCTTATTTCAGGTAATGAGTACAATAAAGATAAAACATGAAATTCCCATAGAAATCAGTATGACTTAAACACCTGGATATAAATATCCCTTCAGTTATATTTTGGTTTCTATGCATTTAGTACATATTGCTTAAGAAAGAATACTCCTCTAATGAAATCTTCCATCTCCCCTATACTGTGCATTGCATATTGTAAGGTAAAGGTAAAGGTTCCCTTGCTCGAAAGCCAGTCGAATCTGACTCTAGGGTTGCGGTGCTCATCTCCGTTTCAAAGCCGAAGAGCCAGCGTTGTCCGAAGACATTTCCGTGGTCATGTGGCTGGCATGACTAAACACCAAGGCGCACGGAACGCTGTTACCTTCCCACTGAAGTGGTACCCATTTATCTACTTGCAATTTCTTGCTTTCGAACTGCTAGGTTGGCAGGAGCTGGAACTAGAGACGGGAGCTCACTCCGTCATGCGGCACCCGGGTCTCAACTGCTGAACTACCGACCTTCCACAGCCTGCAGTTCAGTGTATCACTTGTTATTGTACATGGATATTAATGACATGGTGAGAAAGTCCTCTCTACCTGTTTGATGTTGTCTGGTATGCAAGTATCAGAAGGACAGGACTTCAGGTAGTGTAAGGCAGAAGTTAAATATGGAAATGGCAAGGAAAGGGTTTCTAGACCCAATGAGGTACAAAGTATAGAAGTTTATAGTCTAAACGTGATCTTCAATGGAAACTTTCAGTTGACTATGTTTCATTCAGGAAAATTTCCAAGAGCGAACATTGCCTGAGGTTACTGTATCTAGTGGTGTTCCCCACTACTACTCCAGATCCCACCTCAGACTCTGTGTTTGAGAATGTTGCAAAACCAGTGTCTAGAGACCCTCTACAATTTCCAGTGCTCCAGAATAAAATAGTGTTATGTATTAGCAGAGTTGGATGCTTAGTAACCTTCTTTGCCAGCCGTCCTCTAGGTTATAAGAACTGGGGTACAAAATACACATTACTGTTTTTAAAGGGTTGGGTTCCCTGGACCCAACTTGTGTTCCCCACAGCAGCTGGTGTCTATTGGAGTGTCTGTGTACTGGAGTATCTGTGCACATGTAGCAGCAAAATTGGGGAAGTGACTCAGAAACACTCCCCACGCCATCCCACGGGGCCATTCCCAGCCTGCTTGTCCTCCTTGAGCCCAAATCTTTAAAAGCAATAACATTTAGACTGGTGCTTAACCAGTGTGGTATAGTGGTAAGAGTGCTGGATTAGGATCTGGGAGACTCTGTTCAGATCCCCACTCTGCCAGGAAAGCTTGCTGAGGGCCCTTAGGTCAGTTACACACTCTCAGCCAAACAAACAGAGAAGAATGGTGTAAGCTGCTTTGGGTACCCCTTGGGAACAAAAGCAGGGTATAAAAGAAGTAAGTAAATAATCACAGATATTCCTGTAAAAGTACATTTCTAGAAACACTGTGTGTTTTGTTTTTAAAAAATCTAGTTCTTGGAGTCCTTTCTTAGGACACATAAGGTTCCCACCTCTCAGGTGTTACACAGTGAGTTAAAGAAGAAACTAATTGCAAGTAAGATCATATTTTAAGTCAAATTATATATTTTCTCTTGTGTAAGTAGGTGAATGATCTGTCATGATTTCGTTATGACTTTCCCCCCTACCTTTCCATCCTATTTGCAGTTGAAAGTGAGTGGAAAAAACCTGCTTAATGTCTGCAAACTTGTATTTAAAATCAGTAGAAATGAAAAAAATGATTGCCTCATTCAGAGTGATCAGATATTGGGTATGTACACTGTTTTATACATATTACTGATAACTTCATAATGTATGGTGAATATTGGGTGGAGACTAGAACAGATGTGTTCCTCTGTTATGTGCTCACCATTTTTAATACAGTGATTAACAATTTCCATGATCGGCAATCTGCATTCAAACAAGGACAGTAAAACTGATTTGCTTCTATGAATTCCCATTTGTTACAACCATAACATTTAAACTACCTGGATCACTTAAAAGTGAACATCATCATCATTAATATTTCTGGTTTTCTCCATAGATTCTCTGCTGGAAGTTCTGAGAGCTGAAGACCTGCAAGCCAACACAGAGGCCTTTATCTATTGTATTGGTGCTCTAAAATTTATTTCTGGAAACACAAGCCTCATTCATGAGATGGTCAACAAGGGAACGGTTGAAATTCTGGTACAATTTATGAAGCAGATTAATTTAATTAATGAAAATGAGGCACAGTTTTGCAGCTCGGGACACCTCTTGGTTCAGGTCAGAATTCAGCTTTTATTTCAACAAGCCAAGAATTTGTATTTGTATTGCTGAGATAGATTGTATTACAGGTACAGTAATCAAATAGTAACTTTGACTAAGTTTCCTTCGTTCCAGTGGGAAGTCATTATGTTTTTCTCTTACTGAAAGAAAAGTGTAATATTCCATCTAACTAGTGGGGGGAGAGAGGGGGAGAGATCTCATGAGTAAGCTTAAGGGGGGCAGGTTTTCTTTCATATTAGAAGAGGCAGTTGTATGTCTTTGTTTTAAAAAATAATCTCTCTTGGATAAGGACAACCTGATCAATTTTAGACCTTTGTCAATCTGTTTTGGGGGTATCCCCATGTAGTGGCAAAGCAACTTTTATTCCTGAATGGTATTTCTTCTTAGCTCTTCTATCTCACTTCAGACCTGAGTTTGGGAAAGAGATTAGATTGGTAACCATGGAGTATGACCTTAAATCTATAGATTTACCAGGGAAATATCTTGGTGATTATTCTGTTGGACATGTAAATAATAATAATAATAATAATAATAATAATAATAATAATAATAATATTTATTGCATTAGCAAGAAAGCCATAGCAACTGTACAGAATTTAAAAAAAACCCAAACAACAACAACAACAACAACAACAACAACCAGCACACACTTAAATTTATCTAAGCAGTTATTAATGCAGTTGATTACTCTATTGATAGCAACATTCTTTTTTGTATACCTGATGTGTATTTCAGGATACAGGATATCTCAATGGTTTGGACCTTTGTCTCTGTGCAAATACACATTTTTCACTGGAGAACCACCTGGGTGCTTACATGTGTAGTCCTGTAGGGATCAGTTCTCCCGCCTGTACTGTATAAATATCTATATGAAGTTGTTGAATGAGATCATGTACGGTATACTTGTGGGAGTTGGTGTCATCAATATGTTCTGTATTTTACTAACAAAGTATCCAGGAGTTAGTTTATTCATAGACTATTTATTTATTCAACTAAAATTTCCAAGGCAGTTTACAGCAAAATGAAAAACAGTAAAAGCAACTCCCCCAAACCCAACCCAGTAAAATACAGGTCCTTTCCACACTTGGATCTCATCCCTGGTTTTATCAGAGTTCAACTCGGGACACAATACCTTGCATTTATCTCTGGTTATAACAGGTTCTGTTTATCCTGGGACAAGTGTGGGGTGAAACCGGGGTGACCTCAATGTAATGTGGAAACAAAAAATACCCCAAGATAATTACAGGGGTGAACTCAAGTGTAGTGTAGAATGTAAGTTCGGGGACAGGGTTGAACCAGGATTTAAGGTTGTGCGGATAGGACCATAGTTAAAACAAAGTAAAAATCAGTTTATCAATACTGGCACTCCTCTTGCCACCTTATGTCTTATTGTTCTTACTCATTTGCTTACATCCTGACCAATATCTTGAAATCATGGGCAAATGGCTGAGGCTGAACTGAAAGTAAACCCCAAAAGTTGCATGTGATTCTGCTAGAGGATGCTGATGTTCTCAGAGGAATGGATTTGTGACTAATAGATGGGATTATTATTGCCCTGTCTGATCACATTAAAAGCCTGGGTGCAGGCCTTCCCAGTGAGAAATGGGTTGGTGCTGTGTTCAGAAATGTATCCCCCCCCCCCACTTACATCTTCTTCAGAGGCTCTTTTTCCTTTTTGAATCAGTCTGTCCTTGCTATACTGATACATGCCTTGGTAACTTCTAGGCCTGGCTGTTGTCTTCAAAGCTAGCCCCATGTATAGTGCACTACAGCTCCCTGCTTGTGGTCAGATCCTGGGTGGCATGGTCATATTGCACCAGTCTTGTGTCAGCTGTACTGTTACCAATTTACCTCCAAGCTCAGTTCAAAGTGCTTGCTTTAAATCCCTTCATGTCCTGAGCCCCACATACCTGACAGACCACCTCTTTCCCTACTACATCTGCTAATATCTGGCCAACAGGCATTATTAATGCTCTCTGTTTGCCAGGTGAGATCACAGTATCCTCATGTAGAACTTTGGAATACACTCCAGGTGGCAGTAGAGAAAGCTTGACTCCTTATTAAACTTCTTCAAAGGATACAGCATCTTTCTTTTCCAACAAGCTTTTAGCTGAATTTTTGTCTGCTATGACTGGCTGTTGTTTCTTTGAAGAAGAGCCAACAAGCAGGAGTTTGATCCTTTTCACTGGTCTGTACACTTATGGCACATTCAGAAAAAAATGATAGAATTGGTATCTTTTCCCCTTATTCTATTATTTAAGGAATAAGAGCAATCTCAGAGAGAGGCAATTTTCGAAGGAGATTAGAAAAAGGATGGAAAATTGGTGAAGCAAAGAGTTGTGAGATGGATGTTCTATGTAGCAGCAGTAGTGGATGAGAAAACACTTTTGCCAATACCTGTGGTGATGGAACATGACTGGCAAGAGTGGAATACAAAAAGAGGAAGCACAGATCAGATTAACGCCCTCTCTGACTGGTGCTAAAGAGGAATGGGAATAAATTTTACGTGTGTCATACACAAAAGTTGGTGCCATTTGGGTTGATTTTGAGCCACCTTGAAAATACTGTTATGAAGAAAGCAGGATATAAATATTGTTAGTAAATAATATATCACCTGATTAATCACCACCACTATCAATATTAATGTTGTAGTCATCTCTGACTGGAGGTAAGGGGGGGTATATGTCCAGGACAGCTATATTCCTGATAGGATTGACTTCACCAAGTACAGCCAGAAAACGTGCAACTAAAGTGATCAAGGGCTAGCAATAATGCCTGTTAGAAAAGGCCAAAGTGTGTTAATGCTATTCAGTTCTGAAGAAGAAAAAAATAAGGGAATTTTATAAATTACGAATGGCCTGAGCAGCACAGGTAAGAGAAAACTTCCTTTCCTTCTGTCGTCTTATTAGAAACCAGTGTCATGCAGTGAAGTAGTTGGAAGTATTTCTTCACACAGTGCATAATTAGCTTGTGGGATTTGTTGCCACAGTTATTAGCCATTATACTTTCATGTTCAGAGACAATGTATTTCAGAGCACCATATTTTGGGGATGAGCAATGAGGGAAGGCTGTTGCTTTCATGCCCTGCTTGTAAATGTCTCAAAGGATAGGGCAGCTTAGGGTCCAAGAGCAATAGTTTAGCTATCACTGCAACAACAGACCATTATGGTGTTAGCATGAGACCACCAGTTGTGATTTCATGCCGGTGGCTTGGATCCACAAGAAAGTGTCCTTTTATTTACTCACTTATATTTCTTTCTGCTGCTGCCCTCCCAATGCTGTTTAGGTGGGGAATTCTCCTGCCTTCGGGACTGAAATGGAGGGGCACTGGGGACTACAGCAGGAGAGGGAGATAATAAAGCCCTGTTTGATGAGCAAAATTTCACTTCTTGGATCCAGGCCATGACATTTAAGATTAATCCATACAACAATAGAATTGGTGTGGGTAGGGAATAGGAAGCACCTTTCACTATACAATATAACATTGTTTACTGGGTTTTGATTTAGGTGTGTTTTTTGTGTGTGGATTAAACTAACAACTGAGGGACCTGCAAGCACTTGTGGGAGGCATCTTATTTCCCCTTTCCCCACTATTTCCTCTTTCTCTTCCCTGAAAGCCCCCACAGCCTCTCTTTTGTTCCTGCTTCCTTCTCTCCTTGCCACCCATCAGCCAACCTAATTTTATCTCCTTCCCTGTCTTCTGCTTTCCTTCCTTCCCTCACCCTGGTAGACTTTCCCAGAGAAAACTGGCCAAGCTGCACGGTGCTGCCTGAGCCAGGCCTAATTGTGGAGAACCTGCAAGGACTTTTCTCTTGTATCTGCTCTCCACACTATTTCATCTTTCCCTCCTCCTGGCAGCCCTTGTATCCTCACTTTTCCCTGCTTCTGCCTCTCCTTCACTACCACCAGTCAGCCTGCTTTTTGTTTGCCCCTCCACTTGAAGTATATTTATTATTTGTTACTTCATTTATATCCCAACTTTCTCCCACCTTGCTCCAAAATGAGGACCCATTACATCAATCTCTTCACCTCCATTTTATCTTCACAACACCCCTGTGATGTAGGTTAGACTGAGAGTGTTTGACTGGTCCAAACTTGCACAGTGAGTTTCCACAGCATCCTGGTGATCTGGCTATTTATTTATTTACTATTATATTTCTACCCCACCCTCCCCGCGAATGGGCTCAGGGCAGCTCACAAAAAGGGCACCATGTGCCAATATAAAACAGTAAAACACCTAAAACACATAAAAACAACCATTATCAAAATAAAATGCTCAGCGGTGTTATTAAAGCATTCAGTCAGAGCAAGATGGTAGCCTGTAGATGAAGCTCCGAGCTTGATTCGGCGGTACGTTCAGTCAAAACACTGTGGCTCAATCTTTTAATGGGCCATCCCAATACCCCATGTTCCCATGAGGTAATTGGTGGTGGTGGTGGTGGCGGCTCCTAATTGAAAGCCTGGCAGAAGAGCTCCGTCTTGCAGGCCCTTCGAAACTGTGAGAGGTCCCGCAGGGCCCTGATCTCCTCCGGGAGCTCGTTCTACCAGTTAGGAGCCGCCACTGAGAAGGCCCTGGCCCTGGTTGCCACAAGCCTGGCCTCCCTGGGGCCTGGAATCATTAATCGATGTTGGGCCCCCGACTGTAGTGCTCTCTGGTGTTAGCCGAATTGCTCTTTAGGAGAGACAATTGGAACAGTTTAATAATCGGGATTCAGATCAGGTGTATACGCAGGATGGGCTAAGCCGTTACGTTTCAATGAAGAGACGAAACAGAGGTTTAAAGCAAACTTTATTTACTGAGTATATAGTTCAATCACACAAGAATAATAATAAAACCACACAGGCATACAAGTACTAGGAAAACAAGTTAGATCACAGCACTGTCGCATGAGCAGGAATATCGTTGGTGGGATATATTTACCTATGTCGTGGCTCAGCTCCGAAACTTCCAGTGGGATGGGAGGGCGGAAGGGGAGAAAATGGGGTAGAAAACACGT